AGCGGGTACCGCGAACTATTTTCAAGATGTTTTTTTTTTTTTTTTTTTTTGCGTTGGGGAGATGCTAATTATATATAACAAAAAATAGCTCTCGGACAAGCACTGAGCATACAGTGCTTATTAATATACGTTGGGTAAGGGCAAACCTGTTATATATAATTAGCATGTGTACAGTACTGTATGTGTGCTTTTATGCACATGCCAGTATTTTAGTGCATTTCTCAATTTATGAAGTGTGAACACGCAGTGATCAAGAAGTACATGTACTGTGCCAAGTTCATAAAATTTGTTTGGGCCTGTACTTTTTTTAATTACGTCATACATGTACATGTATACATGTATTATACAGTACATGTACATCTAAACAGTTTTGGAGCCTTGCTAACGAAGTGAAGTTAATTAATTGTTACTGCATGAATGACACCTGCAATACATTGATACCTGTATGTACATGTACGTACATGTACTGCGACTTGACTGTTTTCACTTTCCCACTCCCATTCCCAAAAAGGATTTTTAAAAAATCAATAGTGCATAGGACATTCATTCAAGTCCATGTACATGTACATGTAAGTGCACTCCCAGTGAGCAGCCGTTTGTCACATTAAACCCCAACCTTCCTTTATCCCCTAATTTATCTGTAATATGGATTTGTGAATGTACATTGCAATTGGCTGTAGATGTCTGTTGAACAATATCTTTCGGCTGCATTGTCATCATCTCTTGGGACTTGGACAATTCCTCATAATATGGTTGTTTGATTCAATTGGCTGTTATCGAAGGAGAAAAGACAAAGTCCATTCACACCGATTTATCAAGTTACTTTATGCTGCTCATATTGCAGTGGCAACACAATGGCCGAAAGCAATGAAAGGGAAACTTAAGGTTTGATCCCGCTGTCTCTGAAATAGAAGCAAGTTGCAAAGAAACCCTACACCTTAGTGAAGCACTGGTGAACACTGGTATTCACTGAGTGATAAGGGATTGGTTTGATGCGAGATGGGAGAGAAATCGATGCTAAAATGGTTGAGACCCTGAAAAAAGCTACCGCGACATGCAGGTTCAATCAAGAAGAAAATGTTATCAAGTAATTTGACATTACAGGTGCCTGTGTACCATAGCAGTAATATATATCGTACTGTACGGTAATTTTCAGATTTAATGTCATTACATGCAATTTTGCATCTGAAGTTTATTTTATCAAACCATTGCAATAATTGAATTGAAAACTTAAAAGGTAATGATAGGGACAGAATTTCTTCCTTTAATTTTTAAACTGACAAAGATTTTTCTCATGTGTAGTCCATTGAGTCAGCTAAATGGTCAAAAACAATTTGCAAGGCTTTCCAATAAACAGTGAATAGCTGCAACAGGAATTAGACTAATATCTCACTCAACCAGCCAATTGAGGGTCTTGAAGAAGGAGGAGGCTCTTGTTTCATCGATCAACATAACAGTCAAATTTGCAAAATTTACCATACAATATAGGCCCCTACTGTACCTGTACTTTTCACTCTATTTAGCTTTACATCACAATATGCCGAATTTCCTATTGTGGAGCTAATGGTCAATAACAGTTTGCTCAAGTTTTGGAACATTTACATGTACATGTAACTTTCTATTGTGCTAACAATGGCCATGAAACAATTTGCAGTACTTTCCATTGAGGACCTACTTGTAAGAGTCATGTTTTGCCAGACTTTACACAGAGCCATTTAATTAACAGTGAACTATCCATTTTAGCCAGTAAATTAACAATAATGAATATGTTGCCTTACTCTGCCCAGAGCCAGTAAACTACCGGTAACAGGAAACATTTGCTTAAATTCCCCTAGGCCAGTAAATTAACCATCAGGGAATATTTGCCAAACTTTCCACCGAGCCTGCCTGGTGTTATAAACAATTTGCTAAAATCTGCTCTGTGTAATAATACACTACAACCTGAGTAAAGTGTATATAGTCATAAGTAGTGCTTTAAAAGTGCATCGGGTTTGCTAGGAGATAAAATTACTTTACCAGCTTGCATTCATAGAACATAAAACACTATTTTTTCATTCATTGAAAGACAAATATTTCATGATTGTTATTAAATTAACAGCTACATGTAGGCTCTGTGGAAAATTAAGTAAATATTTCATGACTTAATTTTACTGGCTTTATCTCATGACTTTTATTTACTCGATCAATGAAAGCCAAATGTTTCATGACTGTTACAACTAAGTAGTCCGAGTTATGGAAAATACTTAATGACTGTTAATTAACTGGCTCAGTGAAAAGTTAGCCAAATATTTCATGACTGTTAATTACATGTAGCTACATGTAACTAAGTGGACAGTTAGGCAAGTATGTCATGATTGTTAATTTACTGTTTAGGTGGACAGTTAGGCACATATTTTGTAACTGGCTAGTGGAAAATGGAGCATGTTGTTTATGTAATGTAGTGTATTCCTTGACTGTTAGCTGGCTCAGTAGACACTCACATCAAATATTTCCAAACTTTGTAGGCCCTAAGGGATGTTGGGCAATTTTTCCTCTACAGTTACTAGTTAGACCCTGTGACAGATGTTTCAAGATCATTATCTACATAGCAGAATGAGATGTTCAGCAAATTTTCATGATTGTTACAAAGCTGTCAATTTACAAGCATTGAATGTGAGAGCCATTTTGTAGTCTCTGTGTCAAAATGAGTCTTCTCACACCTAAAGAAATTAACTTCCCTTGCCACAAATTGTAAAAAAAAAATAACAAAAAAGTCAGTAAATATTACTTAACAGACCCTCCTTCCCCTCTATTCATGAAATAAAACTTTGTTTTTGGTTTCTCCGTACTTCAGGGTGTCCAGCGCAACTTCATGCACAGCTGGAGCCCATGAGAGCCCAACATTGCTTCCTTGAAAGTACATGTATGTACCAAACACCTTATCTTTCACTAGTCCAGACAAATTGCCTCCAGCAGCAAGACGGGAAGGTATTTTAACGTATTCATCTTGTGTAATCAGCATCAAATGTCAGTTGATCAATTTTTTATTGATATTAAACATTGTCTTGAGAACAAAATCCAGATATTCAAACTCGTGAATGAAAATGCAAAATGTGGCTGCTTTCCAATCTCTTATATTGTGATGGGTGAAGTGAATTGAAATGAGGAAATTTTAATGCAAATGAACATTTTGCAATGGATACCAAAAGAACAATAGAAGACAATAGCCTGTTGCAGTCAGCAACATCTGACGATGCAACATCCAGTGAACACCCTGGTGACAGTTTGGTAGCAAATGGTCAACGGATTCAGACAGACACATCTAAAATGGGCACAGATGATGGCCACATTCTCTCGTGGGGCTGCGGGGAGTTTGGACAACATGGACATGGGCACATGGACAACGTCAGCCCTGATGGTTCCCTATTGAAGCACTTCTACGAACAGATAGCCAAGATGGCGGGTACCAGAGAAGGCTTACCCAGAGGAGGGACTGTTCCAAGGCTGAAGACTTTTGCATGCGGAGCCAGTCACACAATTGTTGTGACAGGTGAGTTCAGGTTTGGTTTGGTTTTTTGAAAGAAAAACAAAACAAAAACAAATTTGTGGCCAATTTCAAAGACATACGGTAGGCCTACTGGTGTGTCATCAAGTTTTTATGGCTTTGAACAAAATGTTGAGTCTTCATCATTTGCAATTTGATTTGGGTCACATACGGTACATATATACTGTATCAGTAGGCATTTTTATAAATGAACAATGGACAAATTCTGGGAGTTCTGGTAGGTTGTTGGTCAGAAATATAAACCATAAAGGTTTTTGTTGTAAATGTTAGATATTATAAACCTGTGGAAATAACAATTTGTCAGTGGCACCAATGTGGCATATTGATTAATGTGAATTTATGACACCATGGCAAGAAAAGTCCATTCAGGTGGGTTTAGACTTACAGCTGGCTAACGCAGTTTTCAGTTTGGCTGAAAATACCAATAGAGCCTTAGTGCTCTGCATGTATCACACTAGTGTTTACATGCATACTGAAACTGCCAGCGAGTGCATTCAGCTTCATATAACACTTGGCCTATGAAGTGGTGGTATGTATGTACAATGTACTTACCACTTGCTCTTGTATGGTCAACAGTTGTTGACAGTTGTGACGTGCGACATTGCATTTTTTTTCCCACACCTGACCAGCAAGTGTATATTGCAGCAACATCAAGCCCCCCCAAAAAAATAATAAATTAAGAAGGCATTGCCTCATTTTTCCATCAAGCCTATAGATCAGGTTGTTGTACATGTATACCCTGACCATCAGTCTTACAAAGACTTCTGAAAAAGTGCAAGGACAGGGCAAACGGGGATGCATGTATAGATGTACATATACATAGATACATGTAATTTACCCCTTGCCATTTAGCAGACAAGTCATTGCTCTGTGTTGTTAAATATTGTGAAATATTGCTATCTTTCTCCTCTAGACCAAACTTCAAGTGTGACTCCCTGTAAGAGCAGGGCATATACAGAATGTACATGTAGGTACATGTAATTCACCTCTGTCAAAACGATCCTTTCTGAAGCAAAGCACAGTTGAAGTCAAATGCTCCATTCTGAATTGAAATTCCAGCGTCTACTTTGTTGCTGATAAGAAATGAGATAAAAATGTCGTTTGTTGCATCCTAAAAATGCTTCCATGAACATGTACATGTAGCTTTGCCTAGCAAAGTAGAATGGGACATTTTCCAGAAGACTGAAGCAGTGATACATGTACCGTGCTGCTAGTCAGAAATGAGTACCCACTTCCAATAAACCTGTACAAACATAAAGCTAGTTTCAAACTTTTCACAAATTTTGCATTCTCATTTCCATCGAAGTGCTGATGAATTAGTACACATCCAAAATACAAAAGCTGAAGTCACTTTGATTACTGGTACCGGTAGTTTGGTAATAGTGTGTTCAAAGCAGCAGTTACTGTGAGCTCCAAGCTGGACCAAGAGAGGGCGCAGTTTCCCCAGGAACTGCACTTTGCTAGTTCACAAGTGACTATGAAGTGCATGCATCACGGTCATGTCACTACCAACAATACCGGTACATTAGCATTCCCAACCACCACTGGCTCTTTTCTACCGATGAGGGGGGTGCCTCTGCTCAAGAAGGATAAAGAAAATTCAGATAATATGGAGAAAAACATGTAATTTGTGCGTGAGAATTAGTGCTTAGTACCAGTAGTAAGGAGTACATTGCTTGTGCTCATAAAATTTAGATTCATTTTCTACATTAACATGTACAATTTTACAAACAAATTTCAGTCAGGCTAATGTACATGTACATGTACATGTAAGTTGAGTACTATATTAGTTGGTGTGAAATTGATTTAGTAATCAAATAAACATGACACGTTTGATTTCTTAGTTGCAGATCTTCAGAGTGACACTGTCAAAGAGATGCTTTCAGTCCTTCTTGTCATGGGCTACAGTGTACTTATTTCATGTGATTCATGTTGATACTAACTCTCTTTTTGTTACTGGTGCATGTATACATCAGCCTCAGATCAAGTGTACTCCTGGGGTAACAGCAACAGTGGCCAGTAAGTACCAAAAAACAACAATTCTTACATCTACTGTAACTTTCTAATTCCATCAGACTTTGTTTGTGTTGAATGGCAGGCACCGGTATAGCCTATTCCCTGTTACTTTGTGCACAACATGAAACTTAAATATCCCTGGAAAGTTAATATACAAACCTGTTTCAGTTTCTGCAGAGGTTAGGATTTTAGGGGATTAGAGACAGATCCTAGGGGAGGTTCAAGTAGGATCAGTGTGTTTCTACACGAGGAACAAGTTGGCATTGTAATATTTTTTCGTCTTTCACATCTGTGGTCCAGATTAGTTTCAGTCCCCATCCCGTCGGTTTCCCCCAGAATATTTATCTGAGGTTTTTTCCTACCTCTAAATTGAGCATTTCTTCATTGTCTTCTCTCACAGGGTCCCTGTGGGGAATAGTTTGTAACTCATAGAGCTTTACCCTAGTTAAATAAGGATAGTATTTCAAACTCGGGTTGAACAATACAAATGTTCATTACGTACCGGTAGATTTAAAAGCCACTTATTTATTTTGTTATCCATTAGACTAAACTGATATTTATTGACTACTGAATTGCTTAAGGTCTAGTCTCATAGAGACATTCTGTGGTCTTGAGACAAGTGGTTATTCATCCCTGAAAAGGGTTTCAATATCTAAAGGACATTTTCCACTTATCAGTTTCAGATGGAAGCTCTTTGATTATTAGACACTTGGAATTAAATTGTAACTGTTCAGTATGTACCCATTATACACATTTATATAAAAACAATCAACCACCACATGATGTGCCATCATTTAGTCAACTCTCATCGGCAGACTTGGTTGTGGTGACAAGGAGACACACTTGACCCCACAGCGGGTGCGGCTACCAGGGGAGGCTAAGGCATCACCCATCAAGGGGCTTGCCTGCGGCAGCAGACACTCCGTCCTCTGGCTAGAGAACGGCCTGTGCTTCAGCTGGGGCAACAACTTCTACGCCCAGCTGGCCTACGACTTCCGAATAGAGAACTACAAGGACAACCAGGTTTGTGAACTAAATCATCGACACTCAATTCTTACACTTACTGGTACATGTAATAATGGATTTGCCTGCTGTATTGGCATGATGACATAATATTCAGAGTTAGGACTGTGAAAATAGAACAGTTACAAACTCTGGGGGAAAAAAACTTCTATTCTAAAAGAAAAACCAAACTTAGGAATAAAACAAATTTAGTATTGGCAGATATTTTTAAGGCTTTAATTTGATACCAGTTGCATAATTTGATAACATTTCATTATGGTCCATAATTGTAACACATTGTTTTAGCATCCACATAACTTTTTAGGCACACAGAATCAAGGTACGTTTATGCAGTTCTAGGTATGTGTCACAAACAATACTATTGCTACTAACAGTCTACTCAAGGGAGCCCCAGGTTTTCTGTTTTTGTTTTTTTTATTGTGTTCATGTGACGGTATATTGCCTGTAGCTAGTGTTCAAATCAACTTTCCTTAATTGAAAAATTGGCTTTACAGCAATTTCTGCCTGC